AAAAAAAATATATATATTGTTAGGGTTTGTTTGATTCTTTTGTAAAAAATGATTCCTTCTTCATTCTCCATTCTATTAGCTGATTGGTATAAAACCAAGTAATTTGATGAACTACTTAAACTGTGGAAAATGCTTAAAATGCTTTATCATTCATAGTTTAGTGTTGTTTGTCAGATGGATCTTTAAATTCTGTGTAAGAGCCACAACCATAGCTTAAAGCCATGAAGAAAATTTAACTGAAAGCATGAGATATTAGATGGACTTGAGTGCAAAATTACTGTCAAAAGCAGATGCAGTACATCAAGAGCAGGATCAGGCACGCTTGTAGGGAAGTATAGACAAGTACTGGTAAGTTGCTCTCTCTCACTCATAGTGTGCAAGCTTAAATAACCTGACAAAAATAATTTTTACTAAAATTGTAAGGGCATTAGTTAAGTATTTCATTCTATCCCACAGCCTAATGTAGCATTTCATGTGTGTTTTTGTTTTGTACCATACCATACAAGCTACCGAGGTATTACTGTAAAAGAAACTATGACCAAAAGAGCATTCACACCAACTGACAATTTGTTTCTGCAAGTTTTTGGAAGTAAACCAAAATGAAGGCCACAAACATACGCCCTGTAAGCATTATTCAAGCAGAGTGTGAAATAATTGACTTCACTTCTTCAAGCATAATCAAGTAATATGATGTTCTGAGTTATTTTAAGAATGGATCCATGCTCCTATTTCTGACCTGTGTAGCCTTTCAATTTCTTTCTTGTTCCCTACAAGTTCACTGGAATCTTGAGGCTGATATTTTTCTGTCCAGAGCATGTCTTCCTTTTCAACACCTACAGAAAAAATATCACCCATTTTTAAATAGTTCTTCAAGCAAAAGAGTTGATCAAGCCTAGTAGAATATTAAGACTAGACAGGATTTTTGCATCACAGTGGAAAGCTGATATACATTTTATATACATTCCCCCAATGCAAAGAGAATTAAAATCAGACAGGAAATGCAGTTACCTGAAAGTGCATTTGGCTCCAATAAATATTCAGTGTCTTGTGTTGTAACATCTGATTTCTGGGTCTTGTTTTTTCCCAAATGCATGGCTTGTCCTGTCTCTGCTTGTTTTTCTCCAGATACAGGAGAAATAAGGTTCCTGGAAACTCTGGATTTTATTTCTGTCTCTGTACCTTCAATTTGTTTTCTTCTTTTTGATTTGTGGTCTTCCATTTCTTTCCTTTTCCTCTTAGTTTCCTTCCAGTTGTCAGAATGTTTCTGATTTACCTCAGAATTTGCAGTGCGATCTCTGCTTTCTAAGAAAAAAAAAAAAAAATTACATTCTTTTAAAATTTCAAGTGATGTCCATTACAACTATATGTTTGTTTAAGCGATATTTGAAGAATTTGGACAAAGTGACCTAAAATGCGAGGACCAATTTATTTCCAACAACAGTATTCCTTCATGGACATATTTCTGGAAATTCCAGGTTGCCTTTTTATGCCAGAGAGAGCAAGAGCATGAGTTTATTTTTCCCCTATGTAGAGTACTAACCTTGTATACTGTTTTCAAGAACCAACCGTTCCGTTTGCTTTTTCAGAAACTTGTAAAAGTATTTTCTCACAGGAAATTGAGAACTAGAAGACATTATCTCATCAAGTAAATCTTCCTTGAATGTATCAGGAAAAACTGGTCGGTGGCCAGAAAGCTGTAATAAAAAAAAAGAAAAAAAAAATTACTTGAAAACATTACACAGAATAACAATGACAGTTTTGCATAATTCAAATTGGTAGCTGTCTTGTTAAACCCAGAGATTAACAGAAAGCTTTGAGAATTGTCTAATGTTACAATGCAGAATGGGTAAATCACACACAAGGGGGAAAAAAAATCCAGGAGCGAAACAGATTCAAACTACAGGATTTTTTAAAACAACAGATGTCCTAACAAGTAACAAAACAATTTCAATTTTCTTTTCGTTTTTCTTGTAACACAAGCCCCCATTTTAAAGTACTAACCACAGGTGCAGAACAGTTTCCAGTTAGTTTTGAATTCACAGTAGAAAATTCACCAAGCGACAGAGTGATTTTTGTGACATTGGTGACTTCAGTGTTCACTTTCCTTAGCCTAGTTAATAGAGGACACGATGGTGATTTCAATTTCCACATTGGATAACCTACAAAAGAACCCCCACCAAAAACAAAACAAGAGGAAACTTTTGTTAACAAATCAGAGATACAGTCACAGACAAAAACATCCTACAGTAAATAAGAGTAAATGCTTTTAACTATAGCTTTATCATGTCAAAGCCAAGCTTATTTAACTTACAGTGCATCAACTTTTTCATCTTTATTAATTCTACCTCCCACAAGCAGAACAAATTTGCACATTTTTGCATACAACATTTCTCCAGCAAGTTGCTCCTGGGCTCTGCTTGCTCTAAGTAACAACCTGTGCCCTCACTGGGTCTCTCTAGGATGGATAATCACCAAGGGTTTTGTTTGTTTATTGGGTGGTTTGCAAATATAAGCTCTGTTAAGTGCTATTCCACCTTCCGCTTTTCTGTCATGCCCTTTCATAAGAACATTGTGGCACGCTCCCTCAGTTAGTGGAGAGAAACGGGCTGTTCTTTTCTCTTGTGAGTTGGGGGTTTCTGCCCCAGTCAGTCCAACATGATCTTTATTCTCCAAATTGGAACTTGAAAGACTAACTTTTTTGACTGAACGTTAAGAATTTTGCATCCTCACCCATAAACGTATACATTACTTTAGCATCAATTTGTAAACTGTGTATTCAAAAACATCTCACTGGAAGCTTGTAAGTAGGAAACTACCAGTTATGCCAGTCGTAATAGTAAGTTCTGCTGTTCAAGTTTTTTTCTTTTCTGCACAGATTTACTAGAAATTATTATATACATTTACACAGTATTATTTACACAGTATTATATACATTTACACATTATATACATTTACACAACAAAAGCTTACAGTCATCTTTCTGCTGTACATGGACAACAGTCCTAAAACATGAACTTGCAAGAGAGTATGCTTCCATTGCTGCTGCTTTCTTCGCAATCTGTCTTTTCAGTGACTCTGGCAATCCACTCATCAAGAATTCACGTTTTGCTCTGAACTGATCATCGTCTTGAGAATTTTCAGATGCATCTTGGCTTTAATGAAAACAGAAATGAAGGGGAAAAAAAAAAAAAAAATCATTAGACCTACCAGCTATGTAAGGCTTACAACATAATTTAATCACATTCACTTCCACATACAAGTTAGAAATACTCTGGGAGAGCTACTAAAATTAATTTCAATGTAGTAACTTTACATTTAATTTTACATCTTGTGTTAGATATTTTCATTTTTAAAAAAAAATCTTTGGTATTTTTCTATGCAATTTAGGATTTCTTTTTAATCAGTCATCAACCACATTTTCAACCATCTAAAATGGCTTAACAATGGTTGAGGAACTCTCCAAAAAAACCCACAAATTTTGCAAGCAGATTAGCATATTGATCAGTACAAAACCCATGAACATTTATGTCACATTTCAATAAGTGTATTTAAATTTGTAAAATGACAGAATGTTAAAGTAACCTTGAAATATATTTTGATTCTTCAGCAACTGCAATCTTGAAAACTGACCTGCTTTCATCAAAGATCACAATTGGTTCACCTGCAGAGTTTTGAGCATATCTGCCTAGGGAGGAAGGTGGATATCCCAGTTTTCCTTTAAAAAGAAAAAAACAAAATCATGATTAGATTAGCACTAACATAGGATTCTAACCTTGCTTCTCTGTTCACTATCTGTATGTTCCGTTTAATAACATTAGGGAATCTCCTTTTCTTAAGGGAAAGCCAAGTATTTTAACAAAATTCATTATAGTCTTATTTCTAGTGATTTCATCACTATAGACATTATCTTCTAACTTAAGTTGGGTTTTTTTAATGTTACAGAAAATAACAAAACATGGTATACTATTGGCAGTTTTTCAAACAAACATAGTTTTCCCTGAATGAAGAAAAATCAAAGCAGCACATGTAAATAACCTCTACATTATTAACTCATATCATAAAAGGTATATATTGGAATATTAGACAAAAAAAATATCAGAAGAAAAGATGAATGTACTGCAAAGGCAGCTTTATAAAATAAAAGTTATAATAGTCGATAACTATAATAAAAATTAAAAACATTCAGTAAAACCCAATTACCATTTGAGTTCTTCGCAACCTTCAAGTTTCCAGACTTTTTCCCCAAAACATCATTTAAGCTCCGAAGATTCTTTTGCTTCACATTCTCCACTGTAGTAGTGTCATTACTCAGGCTTGAATCTAGAATTACTACCGATTCCTAGAGGGAAAGCGAATAAAATAAGAAAGGAAAGGAAACACAACTTCTCCTCCTTTATTAACAATACAATTCAGTGATCAGTACTGAGAAAACTGAAGGAACTGCTAGAGAGCTTAGAAGTTAGCAAACATAACTTGAAGATTATACAATACTTTCATTACTGTTGTCTACACAGAAATAGTATATAGAATAGGATCTCCAATATACAAACGAAGGCCAGACTTACTCTCATCTAAATTTAAATGTCTAAAACATACACATTTGAAACAGACACCTTGCTGTCCATTAGGAAAGACAAACAGTCACTTTAAAAGTGTGACCATCTGCTGCATTTTATAGATCTGCATTAGGATGAGCTTTCCAGCCTGTGCCTGGCAGTTATTTTACTATTTGACATTTACCATACCATTGCATAGATATCTACCTTATTTGATTCTTTAAAAGAAATGTCTGCAAGACAAGAAACATTTTTGTTGCTTAAATGAATCACAAAAACGTCAAAATAACTTTTTCCCCTACGAAGTATACAGGCTTACTTCACTTTCTTGTAACTTTTTCTTTTCAGCAAGAGCTCGCTGTCGAGATGAGCGCCTCACAGGAGCTGGTGAGTCTTCATTAACCTTTGATCTATTATGCCGTATAGCCTTCGCTTTTTCAATCAGCTGTTTTGCTTTGGATATATTTTTAGAAGTAGAGCTTATCTGTTAACAAAGTACAAAAGAACCAAAATACCTAACAATTAATAGCAATATATTTGGTAACTCTTTAACATATAAATATAATTTTTCACATTCATAACAGCATATGATTTTTATAAAATTTTATTGGTATGGAAAAAGAAAATGAAAGAATGGAAAGGAGGAGCAAACCAAGACGATATAAACACTTTTCAGAAGGGAGTGAGAGCCCTACAAGGGGATCCTCCAATTTGTCCACAGAACAAGTGAAATATGGGCAGTGACATTCCTAAGCGTAAGCTGTTCTGCTGTACCCAAACACTATGTCCCATCCTGAGAACCTGCAGAACACGAGCATACTATTTTATTGGGTTTTTGTTATAAAAAGTAGATTCACACTAATAAAACATATTTTACAGTCTAAGGCACAACTGTACAAGAAACTATCATAAATCACAGTAATATTCTCTTTCCATAGGGCATCCGAGAACTGTCACATTGTATTACATTAGACTATCACATAATACTGAATATTAACACAACTATATGCATATAGTAAATGAGAAAATACTGAAACACAAACTGTTATATAAATTACCTTTATATTTTTGGAGCTAAACTCTTCATTTTTCATTGCTTCAGCTTTATTCGATTTTGCAGTCGCATTGATACGTGTAAACCTCATTCTAATTAGGGAAGAAGTATTACGAAATTATTACTTTTTAATAAAGAGAAATGTTACTCTCAATCTCAGTTTCAAAAGCCTTTAAAAATACAGTGCTGCAAACAGAAGCAACCCCCCAGTTGGTGGTAGTTTTTTGGTTTTGGGAGGGGGGTTTTTGTTGGTTTTTTTTTTCTTTTTTAATGTCTTTACTGCAAGCAGATTTATAGAGTCAACTTTGGTTCTTCTGTATTATTATCCAACATGACCAGTATTCATGCAGCTTTGGTATGCATTCCAATCAATTCATAATTATGTCTTACTATTAAAATACTTGCAGGAAAACAAAGTGCAAAAAGGTAGAATATACTCCAAAATGTTTACCTTATTGGGCTGTTTCCATCAAATGGCACCGTAATCACCTCGGCTTTATACACGTTACTTTTCTTCAAGGGTCGCTTGCTTGCTTTTGGTGTAGAAGTATGAAAAGAACAGCCACTTAATTCATCTTCAGAAAAGGTATTTCTAATCCTGTTTTTTTTAGGTGTAACAATTTTTGATGTTTTGATTTTCTTCTGCCTTAAACTCCTTCTTAACTCATTCACTTTTGGACTTGATGAAATTCTTACATCTAAGGTGTTTTCCTTAGTAAGAACATTAGTTCCCGAATCCACATCTCCATTATAACTGCTAGTATTTGAGACATTTGTTTCCTTAGTTTCTGAAGCCTTCCTCCTTCCGTTTCCTTTTTTCTGAAACTTTTTAGGTCTTTTGGTTTTAGTTCTGTTGTTTTCAGGACTAGAATGTGTATATTTGTCCATATAATCTTCTGGTACTCCACTTTCTAATCCTTTATTTGAAGCAATGTCATCTTCAGGTCCTTCTTTTTCTTTTGAAGACTTTCCAATGGCTTGCTTTTGTTTTCCAGGTGCCTTTTTAACTCCGCTTTTTATTACATCTGATGTTGGTTGTCTAAATGCCTTCATAAACTGATGCCTTTCTTCCAGAGTACATTTTGGCTTCAAAGAATCTGACCCTGCAGTCTCTAGTACAGCTAACTCCAATTCTTCTTCCTCAATAACTACATTAGATTTTCTCTTCTGAGCAACCTGTTCGGTTTGTTCACTGTCCAAGAGGGGTGGGCTACTTTCTTTTTCCCCTACACATCCCTTCTGCTTCAAAAAAATGGAAGCTATTTTCCTAGAGCATTTTTGCTCCTTATGTAAAGGAGCTAATTTTGGGGGAATGGAATGAACTTGTGCAAGGACAGTTACTGTTCTAAGTGGTAGCTGTTGAGATTCCTCACACTTTTCTGGGTCACTTATACAATAACTTTTGTCCATTTCATTTGCTGTAGCAGAATTGTCCATCATTGGCTTTGTGTCTTCTTCAATATGATCTACGTTATTTTCTCCCTGACTCTTCAAGAAGTCCTCAAATGACACTGTTATTATGCTATTATTTACCTGTGATGTCTTATCATCCATATGAACTTCAAAACTGGAGTCACTAACAGTAGCGTCACACTCTGCTATTGTAGGAGACACCATCTTTTTCTTATCTTCGGTTTCCTTTCTCCACTTTTCATTCAGCTGGTTTTCAGATGAAAAACTTTCAGACAAATCCATATCTACTTTGTGCTTCCTTTTCCTTGATTTTCTTATCCTATTTTTTGTTCTGTTTATTTCTGAAACAACTTTCTTCGCATTTTTTCTGTAGATGACAGCATTTGAGAGGTTCTCTCCTTGCACATTATCTTCTGCTAATTCTCTTGCACATTTTTGGTCAACTAAAGTACAAGTAGCAATAAAATCATTACTATCTTGTTTCAGTCCTGTTGTTTCTCTGCTGTTATCACTACTAATTTCTATTTCATGTTCAGTCTCAGATTCTTTCATCTGTCTTAGCTTATTATTTACAATAACTCTCTTCCCTTTCCTCTTCCGCTTTAAAGGTGGTTTAAAAGGTGACTTACAGTCTCTGTCATCAGCATCCAACGGTGTTTTATTTTCTCCAGCTACAACTGGTAACGTAGCTTTCTCAGTTACAGCAGTCTTTTTAAAATAATCCAATATATTGTTGGGTTTTGGTGGTGACAACAATTTATCTGCTGGTTTTGCTAATGGTGAAAAATATCTTGTGATTGTTTTTACAGAAGCATCTTCCTCTCGCCGTTTCTTGCATGGCTATAAAAGAGTTGAACATTAATCTTAGTTTTTAAAAATCTAAGATGACTTAGTAGGGTAATAGAAAGCAGTACAGCATATATTAGTGACACTAGTACTTTTTCAGAGGATAAAAACCTCATGTCAATGCGCTAAGACTGTGTGCGCTTCAGCTTTATCTCTGTATTTTCAAAAGCCTTTTTTAGCTCGAAATAAAGATTCTGCCATTTAAAAAAAGATAAAAAAAATCCTGTGTAGATTTGAGACCACCAAAACTGAAAGTGACCGCAACATCTTCAGAACAGCTGTGCAGACTTCATAATACTAGATAGAGTTCAGAAAGTCTACTTCAATTCAGGTGATCTACTGGTTACCTTGAGATGTTTGCCAGAGCATTTGTGGAGCACCTAAAAGAGAACTCCAACGCCTCTTACAGGTGTATGAGCCTACCGTAAACATCTAGCACATCTTAAAAGGAAACTATGCCTTTTAAAATACTTGAAGAAAATGAATACAAGAGAATTCATATCTCATAATGCAAACCATAAAAGCGAATTTGTTTGTACGACTCCAAGGAAGATGGCTCACAAGGCCTTTTGGGACTCTCCTCGTTTATTAAAACCTGAACTCCTCCGAAATCACATCACCTGAACCTGAAAGCACCTCTTCCCAAAGCTACCGGGGACGCCGCTGAGGCGCCCCAGGGAGGCATCTCATGACAGCTCGGCCCCTGGGCTGCGCAGCGCTGC